TCGCGTGGAGAAATCAATATCACCACGTTAAATCTCATCAAGAGATGCCATGTAAAAGTATTTTTAGAGTTTTCTATATATCTAATAATAACGTAGAAAAATAAATAGATATTAAAAAAATTCACTTTCTTTATACAAGGTGTTTCTTAAGTACGTGTAGAAAATCCAGGAGCATGTTGCTGACGTCAAAATAAGAAGAAAAGTTCGTATAAATATATGTCCGAAAGTTATTCGTTTCTGAGATACAGAGTGTCAAAGTTGAATTCTTATTTTTGTTTTTTGTTAATAAATTTCAAAATACTTGTGATATTCAAATGAATTTTGGTATTTCGGGGTATTTTTCGATGACAATATCAAATTTTATGTTAGTTCATCTCTTTCGTGAGGGTGGCGGCTCCTACATGTCTATTGAGTCTTTTGAAAAGTCACAACTTTTTTGTGCGTACCTGTATCACGTTCTATAGTAGGAAAATAGTTTTCTAGAACACGTTCGTGTAAAAAACATATTCTTCTGCGAGCAACAATTTTCGAGTTATTGGGATTTTCAATAATCGATGCAAGTAATTTGGAATGACGAAGAAGTAGGAATTCAAAATTGATTTATCAAGAAGGTAAGGAAAAAAATTATTTTTTTCATTAATACTGATAATAATAACTGTAATTAAGACCAAATAAATACTAAAACAGTTGGTTCAGGGAATTGATTGAAGTAATTGTTCAAAATGGCCAAAAAAATAGATACAAAGAAGTAACAATCATCATTTGGCTACATTCCAATGTTGAATTGTTGAATGGAGGAGAATATTGAATGAAAGAAGAAAAATGCACTGACGTATCTTTTCTAACTGCTTAGAGTCGACTTACGAACCCAATGGAATTAATTCAAATGCATCGATTGTTTCAAATCCCAATATCTCGAAAACAGTTGCTCGCATCGACCCTCGCATCGACCTCTACCAAGAATATACTTTTTACACAAAAATGTCCTAGAAATCTATTTTCTTACTATAAAACGTGATACAGATACGAACAGAAAAGTTATGACTTTTCAAAAATTCAAAAGACATGTAGGTAGCGCCACCCCCACGAAAGAGACAAACTACCAAACTTCATTCGATTATCACAATTATTTTGGAATTTATTAACAAAAAACAAAAATAAAAATTCAACTTTGACACTCTGTATCTCAGAAACGGATAACTTTCGGACATATATTTATACGAACTTTTCTTCTTATTCTGACGTCAGCAACATGTTCCTGAATTTTCTACACGTACTTAAGGAACACCCTGTATAACTGAAAAACTAAAAACAATTGTGAAAATTTTCCAAAGCCGTTGGTATGATCATCAAAATGCGCAACTTGTTTCCCATTTAACCGAATCCGTTTCTTTTCCTGTTCCCGAGATCCCTATATTACCTTATCTTTGTTTCACTATACAGGGTGGGCCACCAGTAACGCCTCGGTCTCTAGAAGACTAACCACTTATCTTCTTGGAATTCTTCCTCTCTAGGAAGTTGCATGTCAACATAGGCTACCATTTAGAATTATTTCGAAACATACAGGGTGTCCCCAAAAACCATAAAACACTGAAGTTAAACTTTTTTCTATCGAACACCCAATATATTATTTCATTTTGAGATTCTCCCTTGTGAGCTGATTTCAACAATCTATCATACTTGGGGTCTAGCAGTTATAATTACTGAGATATAGGGTGTGAGAAATCGAGATTTTCCAAGTTCAAGGATTTTTTGTGTCTAAACCATTCATAATTGGTCAAAACGGCTCACATGTCCCTATCTCAACTTTTGATCAACTATCTACTGACATTCAATTGAAACAAATACAGGGTAGTGCAGAATTCAGAATCTTGATCACCCGGTATATGTCCCAATTAAATATCAGTAGATAGTTAATCAAAAGTTGAGATAGGGACATGTAAGCCGTTTTGACCAATTATGAATAGTTTCGACACAACAAATTCTTGAACTTGAAAAATCTCGATTTTTCACACCCTATATTTCAGTAATTATAACTGCTAGACCCCAAGTATGATGGATAGTTGAAATCAGCTCACCAGGGAGAATCTAAAAATGAAATAATATATAGGGTGTTCGGTGTTCGCTAGAAAAAAGTTCAACTTCAGTGTTTTATGGTTTTTGGGGACACCCTGTATGTTTCGAAATAATTTTAAATGGTAGCCTATGTTGACATGCAACTTCCTAGAGAGGAAGAATTCCAAGAAGATAAGTGGTTAGCCTTCTAGAGACCGAGGCGTTACTGGTGGCCCACCCTGTATTTTCAACTGTTTCATCTGAAATGAATTGGGAAAATCGACTAATAGTATTCTTCGTGAACAAAAGTGAAACACTTGTCGTAAACACAATTCTTGAATAACTGGACAAATTGAAGAGTTCCGAACGATATCTCAAGAAGACTTCAATGAGCTGTTAAAATAATTATCATTCAAATCGGCAAAAGATTTTTTTTCAATGTGTACCGGAACTTTTTTGCAAAATCTGTAAATGGTATACATACCTACTAATTCTTTATTTAAATAGGAAGAAACCTGTATAGGCTTCTGTCACTTGAATTGAGAAACACCCAGTAGTGTTAATGATACTTATCCGAGTACTTATCACTAATCCCTACATGTTTTTTCATTGCCCAAGTTTCGTCCTTGGGTTTGAATTCAACCTACCTATCGATTGACTTTTTTTGCATTTCACGAATGGAACTTATTCGTAATCTACCTATTTTTACGCAAAATTTTGAAAACTCCTTGGGATGTATGATAAATCTCGATAAATCTTTAGGAAATCCCGGAATTTCTTGGGAAGTCCGGGTAGTCTCTGGGAATTCCTCAGGTAGTCCCAGGAATTCCAGGTAGTCTTTGGGAATTCCTAGGAATTCTTTGGGAAGTCCCAGGAATTCCGGGTAGTCTTTAGGTAGTCCCAGGAATTCCGGGTAGTCTTTGGGAATTCCTAGGAATTCCTTGGGAAGTCCCAGGAATTCCGGGTAGTCTTTAGATAGTCCCAGGAATTCCGGGTAGTCTTTGGGAATTCCTAGGAATTCCTTGGGTAGTCCCAGGAATTCCGGGAATTCTTTCAATAAAGGAAGTCTAGTGTACCCAATTTCAGCCCGTGATTTACCCCTCGGATCAGTATTTTGCCTGATTTGACAAAATTTCCGTTGTCTTGTATAGGGAGGTTATTAGTTCTTGAAAATACTTACATTGGCAAATAATTCCAAAGCTTCGCCGTTCTATGGACGAACGAGTTTTGGTAGAGTGTAGTTCAACATATTTCAAAGTTAACAAAGAAATAATGTGCTGACTGGGCCTGTCGAGTTCGTCTGACTGGTATTACTTGTGATTGAATTATAGCAGAGATTTCTGTGGAACATTTCCTTCATTATCAGATACTTAGTTATAATTATATTATAATGAATGGAAAGGGCAAAATTTGTTTATTCCGAGAAAAAATGTATAAGGTGAGCGAATATTTGTTTTTTGAATATCGTCCAAGTTTATCAGTCTTCGATCATTCAGTGTATTTTTGACATTTCGGAAACATTTTTAGTTGACTTCATTAAAAAATATTCATTACATTTGTTATTCAATACAATTAGGTAGATTTCAACAAAAAAAAAATGATATTTCATTAAGAAAACCATCAGTGTTCTGCGACTGCCTTGTAAATGTATATATTATATTATTCATCAGGTCACATCAAATCAGTGGATGTAATAGATAATTTTGGGCCGATTTTGGGTTTCTCAAAATTTTAGAAATTAATTACTCTGATGCGTGAAAAAATTGTCCCCTTATTACTGATAGTGACGATACTGTTGACAACATTATCTTCGACGACGACTATACCACTGTTAAATACCAATAGAATTTGTTCGTTACATCTATAACTGTCGAACATAGATTCATGCTCATTTTTCATTGATTCAATGAAGAAAATCATCAAGTGATGTCTATCGTTCGTAATATCAATAACCGCCGATCATAGATCCATGCTAGCTGATTATTGATTCAATGTTCAGCTGTGATAAACTGAGTCTGTCCTTCGTAACTGGCACTTACATATTCATGCTCACTGTTAATTGATACAATGTACATCAACCATAAACCAATGTTTATCATCATAGATCCATGCTCGCTGTTTATTGATTCAATGTACAACAACCATGAACCAATGTAAATCCATTCGTAATATCAATCACCGGCAAACATAGATCGATGACCATTATTCGTTGATTCAACGTACTGCAGTCATAACTCAATCAACAAGAAAATTTACGTACGACCGTTCATTGTATTAATGAAACCCGTCATCGGCCCAAAATTAATGTTGACGTTCACTGATTTGATGTACTTTTTTATTAATATAACGTACCTTTTTCGTTCTGTGTTTAAAGCGTGAATGACTTTCTATAGCCCAATGTATACAGATCGACAAGTATAAGTAATTCATTTTCTAGTAGGAATGACATGAATGATCAGACAGTCATTCCTGGTATAAGATCATTCATGAAGTATTATCGACTGCTCGATCGACTGTTTTATAATCAAAATTACAAAAAGTGAACAAAACTAACATATCATTGATATATCTCAAAATAACAATCATATTATAGTAAACAAGAAGGGAAAAACACAGTGAAGAAAAAAAAAAGGAAATTCATAGTCTTTCAGCTCTGATCATTCATTTGCATATAAATATATTTCTTCACTTATTTTTGAATTTTATAATATTTTGGCTGTTTTTGATATCATCTGGTAATTTATTGAATTTCGAAATCGCCTCACGTCGCCTAATGTGTTTACTTTTTTTGTCCAAGTTTAGAATTTGCAGCGTCAAGATGAAACAAGATATATTGTCTAGTGTGATGACCATGAATGAGATGATATAAAAGAAGTTATAATGATGAAGACAATAGTTCGAAATACTTACGGGCTCAGCTCCTGGATCCCCAGAGAATGTAGAACAGTCGGCAAGCTCGGCAAGCTATGACAAGATGCCAGAGCCTTCTGCCTGGGATAATACAACCCCATCACCAAACACGTCTCCTCCCGACTGTTCAACCCGCCCAGCGTGATAGCGGTTCTACCAGAACTATTATACGTGCACTGCGTGATCAGATGATCACCAGGAAGAATCCGCACTGGCACTTGCAACTTCCTGTACTCCTGATAATCCGAATCGACATTGTCATCACTAGCGATCGGCGGTTGTTCGACACTACCGCGGATATGCTTCAGAGCCACCTGTTTCCCGATCTTGTGCGTTTTCATCACCACCGCGAACATGTTGATACCGCCGTGTGCGAAAGCCTGCTTGGTACAAGCCGACACGCAGTGGCCCGAAGAAATCACCCTGTCCTGTCCAGGAGGGATGATGTGCCGCCAGTTGGGGTCCATCCCGATTGAGATAACCCCAGCGTCGTGCCTCCTCAGCTCTGGGGTGTAGTAGAGCCTCAGACCTGATCCGTCCATCGCTGCCACGTTGCCGTCGGAAGGGCTGCTGTAGTGGGTCTCCATGAGGTAGAACCTGGAGTTCTGGGAGTCCAGGGGGTACCCGGCTTCAGGAGGAAAGCTGAAGCCTTCGGAGCCTCGTGCCCAGCTGGCGACCACGGTGTTGCAGGATAGGGGCGGAGCTTGAGATTCGAAGCATGGGCGTCCTGGGGTTTCTGCTATCTTTTCCACTGCTGGATTGTCCTGGCATTCATAGAGGACTACGTGTTGGAGTCCGGTGTCGCCGTTGATACCTTGCAGGGGTTCATACTGCAACAAAGCGATAATTGAATGATTTGTATTCAATTCGAAATTGTGGCAATAAGTGAAATGTGTTTAATTATCATCAGAGGTAAACGGCTGAACACGAATGAGGTCAAGTACAATTCTCCGTTAGATGATTGCTTTGCTAGTATTCTGTTCATATCGATTCGCAACTACTCTTTCAGAATCAGGTAGTGAACCTCGATGTTTCTAAACATTGTAAAACCAAAATACCAAGCAGTTCGATGTTGATGCTTTGTGAGTTTTTGTACGAGATAGGCAACTAAACAACTAAAAATCATGAATGCGGAGAAATTGGTCCCATCAGAATATACAGCTCTTGTTCTGCTTATATCCTCAAGTGCTTTATGTTGTAAACCCTATTGTTTCCGACTTTGAAAAAATGGTAGTTCAATTTGAACATTGTCAAGTATTGGATATTTTTATTCTGGTAACTGTGGAGAATTTTCAAAAATTATCCGATAGCTCTATTTTTTTTTGCTTTTCATTTTGATGCCAAAACAGCCCATTTTATTTATTGTTCCATTTCCGAAAACAACCTGTATTCCACTTAACATGATACATAACAAGACTAGTTTTGTGATATTGTTGAAATAACATTGCGATAATGTCCTTCTAAAGTAACCTACATAATATTATGAAGTGAAACGTTTATGAGCCGTTGCATCAATATTGAAATCAATATAATTAGATAATATTGTAATAAGATTTTAGGTTTTTCGGATATATCTCAGACCGAGTTGTTATGTTATTTGCGTGACGTTTTTATTTCTCCACCTTATAACGTAGCTTAAATGTATAAAGGATACAAGAGGATATTATTTTTTTCATAAGGCAAAGTAACCTTGTCAACTGTCAGAAGTCGATTCGATTTCAATCCATCCATGCTGTTTGTTGTCTGTCAAATTCGAATGGAAATATAAATTGCTCATGATACCTTTCTTACATTCCAGGTTTGCTCTGCCAATCTGTATCGGCATTTCCATGAAAAAGTAGGATGGATTCGTATATGAGGATTGTTTTTATATTTCACGAATTACAAATATAATGGGTGAGTTATATATCATAAACTAGTAGCAGAACATAGACATAATGAAATTTCGAAATTAGTCAGGAAACTCTTTAAACCTCATATCTATATAATATATATTTACTATTATACTATTACTTTTCAGAATTTAAGACATGATCCAGTAGGAGATCACTGGATTATACAGAGATCATATACCTAAGCTAGGTATATAGGTATTGGATTTATGAAGCAGAATAACTAAATGATACTTAGAAAGATAGTTGTTCTACCTCAAAATATCACAGTGTAACTGGATCATACTTATAGTCTTTCAGGAGTACGGAAAGATAAATTTATTAACACAGTGATATTCAGGGATAGATTATCGTCTCTGTCTTTTCCTCGGACTTTTCTAAAGATTATTCAGATTATTCCAGAAAAAAATAGACCTAAAATCTCCTGGAAAATAATTAGAATGTTAATATACAAATCGATATACAATATTGATTATATATTTTGAGTAACATTGAATGCACGTTATAAAGTAATATTGATTTTATGTAATTTCTGATGTATTTATCGGTATTTATATACGATTTCCCAACATAACAAACATTGTGATATTTAAAAGAGGCACAAAAACCCATTGCCGCAACGTATCTGTTACATTAAGCATCTCTCTGAATAACATCATAAAGTAACAATGTATAATATAACATATATTTTTGAGTTAAGTTCTCATGTTTAGTGGGAGAATGCGAAGTGAAAATTACATTGTACTTATAGGTAATAGATTTCCTCTCGTAATATTGAAATCAACTAAGCATTTACGGAAATAGCTATAGCATTGAATTCTCGAAAAGCTTTTGTGCTAAACAACGATGTGCACTATATCCGCCTAGAAGTTCTGTTGCATTCTCCCCACATGATAACCTAATTCCAATTCCTATTACTGAGCGTAAAACCCGAATGAATAGAGAACTTCTCGACTAATGTAACATTCTATCTGATTCAAATTCCCTTCCGAGTTTCCCGACGCTTCCGCATTTTCCACGTGTTTCCCAGCAGCGAATCTCCTATAAGATGACATGTAAATTGCTTAGTTTTGAACTCGGTTCACGAATTTGAAAATAGCGTTATGCGTGCAGCTTCATGCGACATTTTGCGGCTCTTTGTTATTCAAATTTATGTTCATTTCGAAATTGTGAATTTTCTTTTGATACGAGGTGGTCCAATTATGGCGTTATTAGGGGACTGTGAGGCAGACGTAGAAGGTAACTATCGATCTAGTATCAATCAATCTTCATTGATAAACATCTGGGAGTGTGTGTGTGTGTGTATAAAAAATATCTCAGAGATGAAAACAGTCATGTTTGTCATGTTGTTTGTGATGTTATTACTGTTAATATATAGTTAAAACCACAATTTTATCGGAAGAAAATCCTTTTTACTCCCTTCAAGACTTTGAAAACTAATTTTAACACATTTACTGTACCTTGATGGTGATGTTAGTATTGTTAGTATATAAATATCATATGCCATTTGGCTATGTCTAAGATGACTGCTATATCACATTCTACACTAATATTGTTCTCCATTCTAGTATAAAGTATTATCACTTATATATTATCTGACCTTGACAATGCCTATACTGATGTATTTCAGTCAATGGAAATAAAGATTTTGTATTTGTATTTGTATTTGTACAGTCGTTACTCAGCAGGATAATAAAAAATATTTTACAAACATGTGTCCTACAACTCTATGTCCGACATACACATTGTTGAGAGTGAAAAAATATAGGTAATTCACTATACTCTCGTATGTGAAATGATATTTTTATTTTTCACCATTATCATTCTCGAAGGAGATTTTTTGGAGATTTTTATGCACAACATCTAAAACTTGCTCATACCATCTGATAGGTACCATTCGTTATATTACCAATTATTTTCTATAGGAAACACTATAGTCATTAAAGCACGTCTCTTCACATACTTTTGGTAAAAATGAAACCTCCTTTGCCAATTTCCCGAGAAATTTTCCATGCAAGAAAATGATCTCCAAGTCATTCGAAAATATCATCCATTTTAATGGCATAGATATCTTAGGAAATCGAAATGTTAATTTGTGAATTCGAAACTGAAATGTAATCCAATATTGGCCGTTTTCAATATGAATCAATTCAGGGTGATCTGATATATCACCGGGTCAGTCTGTCAGTTCATTTGCCCATGTGAAAAACTCCCTAGAAAACTCCCAATATTAGTGTTCAACGTTTATATATATATGTTATCTCGTGGTTTTCGAAATAGACTTTTTAAAAACAATTTTATTTATTCCGGCATAGATTAAGTTTATACAATGAGCTTTATTTCAAGACTGACTTTTTGATACAATATAAAATGAATTTATATTAAAAATAATGCTGATGCCAGCGTCAGCAGATATTATATTCCATTTCTGCGGATGCTGACTTCAAGGTCAAGATCATGTTCTGAGGAATTGTTATCGCTGGTAAGTTGATACTACTGAGAACAATGGGAACTGATTTTAGCATATAACAACTCCCCATCATAATAAAAAGTTGGTGCTTATTGCAGCGACTTTTAATGAAGGTTCTTCGAGGTGGATGATGTCAGCTCGAAGTTCTCGTCTTCTTGGTCTCGGATGTTGACGCTTGGGCGTCTTCTGGGGATGAACCTGGTAAGGGATGATCTGAAGGGTGTCCTTGATGTTCCTGGTGGAGCTGGGGGTGAATTGTCTGAAGCCATGATGCTTATTCTTGCTGGTCTTCTACGTCTGCACTTACAGTAGAAGTAGAGTACAATCAGGAGGATTATCAGGGTGATCGTAAGATACGTAAACCAAGAAATGTGTTTGGTCACGTATGGTTGATTGATTAACTTGTCCAAATCATCGGAATATTGACTCAATTTGTGCTGGGCAATATTCAGGTCTTCAGTATCCAATTTGCTTAGTTTCAGTGGTTTTAGCTCTGGAACATTCTGTTTTTCAGGTAGGTGTTTGCAGCATTCGTATGGGATGATGACTGGTTGATTTCTGTAGGTCACATTCTTGTAAGAACTGACCAAGTACTTAGCGTGTACTCTCGTGCTTCCTATAAATGCATTGCATTCTGGTTGTAGTGTGAGGATCGAATTGGTATTGGCTATTTTCGTGATTGTTTCTCTATTGGAACACTTGATCGTTATTGGTAGTGGATCTGACAAAGCGATCAACCACATATTGGAGGCAATTTCTTGTACATTATAGTCTTTTGCAAAGATGACTGAGGACTGGCATGTCTTCGGTACTTCGAATTGCTGTCGAAGAAGTTGAGCTTCACAGATAGCGTTGTTATCGATTGGATATGGCAGAACATCTGAACAGATTTGTATTCGACTCTCCAGGTATTTGCATCTGTCCAAGTTTTTGAATGATGCGTACAACATTGAATCGTCATCTCTCGCGATATATTTTTGATTTGTTAACAAAATGTGATGAAAACCTGTTCTATTATCCAATATTGGTATTGGGAATAATCGGAATAGGGTATAGGTTTCTGGTTCAACTAGTGGAATTTTTAGCAAGAAAACTATTTTTGAATCAGTTTGGTAGGCTTCAAGTTCCATAATTTCTAAATATTGAGCTACTGTTGATAGATAGATTGGTAGAGGCAAATTATTTTTGGATAATGACTGAGATATTTCCTGAAGGGAATTAACTAAATCTCTAGGTGTTATGATTGACGTATGTATTATTCTTAGTCGAGAAAAGGTGATTGAGTTGAGCATATCATCTAATGTTGCTTCGAGAAACATATAGCTCTCCATTAGTGATTCGCAAAATTCTAAGGTTTCTAATTGAGCTTCAACATATGCTACATCGTCAGAAATATCATATATTGATTTCTCAATTGATTTTAGATTATTGTTGAAAGTAGCTTCGTCTATTTGTAATTTTTGAATTG